GGGTTTCAGGATTGTTGATTCTCTGTTTGGCTTAGTTTTTCGGATCTTTGTTGTGGAGGGACGGCGTGGTGCTTCTGCCTAGACCGCCATCTTGCCGGAGTCTCTCCTTCCATCTTCTTTTGATGCTTCTTGCATCATTCACCATTTTGCCCGTAGAATCCTTCAACATTGCAACTCGAGGCTTGAGGTTTTTCTTCAATTCTTTTAGCTTGAAAAATGCAGAGTGTGTTCTTTCCTTTTGGTTTTCTAACTCCAGGTCTTTGCACATTTCATTGTAATACTTTGCTTTGTCTTCTCGAGCCGCCCTTTGAAATCTTCTGTTCATCTCTTTTACTTCATCATTTCTTCCTTGTGCTTTAGCTACTCGATGTTCAGGAGCAAGTTTCAGTCTCTTCTGATGTCATCTCACAACTCGTCTGATCTTCAGTAATTAGTGTTCAGTGCATCATATCTATTCTTGAGATGGTCTCTAAATTCAGGTGGGATATAGGTAACGTTGTATTTTGGCACTTGTGGACTTGTTCTAATTTTATTCAGCTTCAGCTTAAAACTTGCATATGACCAATTGATGCTTCCAGCATCACGGCAACATGCAAGCCAGCACAGTACGACAGACTGACGGACAAGTGGTGGAACTATTCATTTAGGGAGTTTAATTATTTTTTTAAAATTTTTTGTGGTAGGAATATACATAACACAGCATTCACCAATTCAATATTTTTTCTGTTTACATTTCGGTGACACCCATTATATTAATCATTTGTGCAGTTGTCACCGGTATCCATTGCCAAGTTTTCCATCACCGTGAGCAGATTCTCAGTGCTTCCTAAGCAGTAAGTCCCCTTTCCCCCTTCCTGTCACCCTTGATAACCACTGATAAACTTTGGGTCTATGCATTTGCCTGTTCCAGATATTTCGTGTAAGTGGGATCATGCATTTGTCCTTTTGTGACTGACTTATTTCACTCTGCATGTTTTCAGGGTGCATCCATGTTGTAGCTTGCATCAGAGCTTCGTTTCTGTCTGTGGCTGAGTAATGGTCCATCGTGTGTATGTGTCACGTTATGTTTATCCATGTATCTGGTGATGGAAATCTAGGCCTTTTTTGGCTGTTGTGAATAGTGCTACAGTGGACTTTGGTATACCCGAACGATTATTAATATTTTAAAAACTGTATCACAAAGAAACTTACAGTGTGAAATGCTGTCCACACTAATGGAAGGAGAAGTGTTCTGTAGTCAGCAGGAAAAGGCAGCTAGCCCACCCGAAGGCCCCGGCCTCAACAACAGCACGCCGCCTCAAATCTGACCTAGAATCTCAGTGCAGCTCCCTCCGATCACAGATGAGGGATGTGAACCGGAGTCCCGCAGTTTGCCCATAGCAGTGGATACCCAGCTTGCTTCTCGTCCAGGCACCACTGGACAGCTGCTGGAGCCTGCGGCCGTGGCCACAGGAAGCGTGCCTGGAGACCTGGCCTGGTGGGGACCTGCCTGTGTGGACAGCCACCCACTGCCGTGTCTGACTCCATTCCCCTCCCCACCCCAGTTCTGTGTCCCCAAGGCTACACTGCTGATGGGTGCACGGAGGCACGGGTGGGATGGGACATAGGGCCCCCACTTCCCAGGTCCCTCCCACCAGTCCAGCAGCCCTGCCTCACTCACTCGAGCTCTGTCGTTATTGAACCCCAAGTTCCCCTCCTTGACACAGGTCCCCTGCATTCACTTCCCGCCCTTGCCTCCAGCCAGAGCCATGACCCTCTCCACAGACCCCTGCCTGACCAAGCGCCTCCTCTCTGGGCCTGTGCCAGCTCTTCCTCCTCCAGGGCTCTGGTCAGGTGCCAGTGACCAGGGTCAGCTGAAGTCTGACCTCTGCCATGGAGCGTCCGCCAGCTGGCTGTGTCAGTCTCCAGGAGGGCTGTCTGCATTCGGGTGCTGGGCCAGCGCTGGAGTTCCTGACGCCGCTGGGCTGGGGCTGAGACCGTGCATGTCTTGAGAGCCCCAAGGCTGCTGATGCTGTTGGTCCAGGCGCCTTTGAGACTCGTTGCTGTGCCCAGCGTCTTCAGATGGCACTGTGCGCCTTGGCTCTGACGTCTGAATCACATCATCCATATTCACCTGGCACGTGGCAAGTGCAGCCTGGTTACTGCTGTCCTTTTAGGACCAGCTCATCTGCCCAGAGGGTAGAAGGCAGGTCACAGAGTGTCTGTGCCCCAGGGTCCTGCCAGCTTCCACCTCTCAGCAGTCACAGACATCAAGTCGGAGGGAACCTTAATCTAGGGGACATGAGTCACCTGTGTGAGCCTGGCCTCGTGCACCCCAGGTCCCTCTGTGATTCGAGTTTCTCTGGGGATACGGGAGGAAGAGCAAATCTCAGGGATGAGAGAGTGCTAACGGGCCTCAGTGATTATTCTAGATCCTTCTGTCTAAAACAGATTTGGAGGAACTTGCCCATTTTTTTTCAGAGTTAGTGTAGAATGCTATTCACTTTCCTTTTTAGTAATTCAAAATCCTCCTTAAATCCTACTCTGTTTCTCCACGCACCATATTCTGTCACCCTGGGGAAGTTGGAGGGTCTAGTGTGGTCCCCACAAAGGAAATTGATGTTCTTTTGAATTACGGTATTGACAAAGAATATTGAATATACCATGGAATGCCAGAAGAAATAAGTCTGTCTTGGAAGAAGTACAACCAGAATGCTCCTTAGAAGGAGGATGGTGAGATTTCATCTCACATACTTTGGACATGTTAACAGCAGGGACCAACCCCTGGAGAAGGACTTCATGCTTGGTCAAGTAGAGGGTCAGCGAAAAAGAGGAAGACCCTCAAGGAGATGAAGACTTGAGTTAAGGATCCGCCTGCCGAGTCAAATGTACCTTCCAATATCTTTGTGCTTTGGGGTAGTTTTTAAAGGACTTCACATAGTTTTTAAAGGTCTTCACGTTGGCTCTTCTGGCACGTGGGCGGTTTGTTTTGCTTCCTTGAGTGGTTTCTAGAAGCACTGAGGGGCCAGGCCCTGGGTTACCCTGGGGGGACACCAAGTTGGGGTCTCAGTGCAGAGCCTCCAGTTCCTCTGAGGCCCTCCCAGGCTGTCCAGTCCAAGATTCCCACTTCTGGGCAGATGTGTTCGTGGCTCTGCCTTTCATCTTGGCCTCTGTCTCTGAGTTCCCTAGTGCTATACCACAACGAGTGTTTGTAACCAACAGAAATCAGTTTTCTCACAATTTAGGAGGCTAGGAGTCCAAATTCTGGGCACCACCCACAGGGGAAGGCACTCTCTGTCAGCCCTGGCGAAAGACCCTTGTCTCAGCTTCTGTAGCCCAGGCGTTCCTTCGCGTGACACCTGTCTTCCCCCTCCCATTTTTGCTGACTTCTGTGTCCGATCTACTTTTTGTGTCTCAGGAGTGATTAGGGTTAGGACCCACCCTGCACTGATAGGGGTCTCATTAACGTAACAAAGAAAGCATTACTTCCAGACCAGATTACGTCCACAGGTCTAGGGGTTAGGCTGCCAACACAGATTCTGGGGGGACATGATTCAGTCTGTAACACCTCCCATCTGTATTCATATTACTTTCCTTTTTTAACACTTAACTTAAAAAAAAAAGTATTTTGTGCAGACTGCAAAGTGAAAACTCTGAAACCTCAGAAAAAGCATCATTGACCATGCAGATGAAGCTACTTCTTAGATCCCACGGGGGTTGGAAATGTCTCTAGAAAACTCTCACCATCTCATGGACACAAAGTCCCCCGCGTGGATGGCTGGGGGTCTCAGAGCGGGCCCCGGCGAGGCATCAGTAGGCACCGCCCTGCACCGCTGTGGCTCTGTGTTACTCACATTGCTTCAGGAGATAACCCCTGTGGTGACCGGAGCCCCAAGCGGTGGCTGCTGCTTTTCTTTTTATTGCACTTTAGATGAAGGTTTACAGAGCAAATTAGTTTCTGATTAAACAGTTAATACATATATTGTTTTGTGACATTGGTTGCCAACCCTACAACATGTCAGCACTCTCCCCTTCTTGACCTTGGTCTCCTTATTACCAGCTTTCCTGTCCCCTCCTGCCTTCTCATTCCTGCCCCTGGGCTGATGTGCCCATTTAGTCTCATTTTGTTTTATGGCCCTGTCTAATCTTCGGCTGAAGGGTGAACCTCAGGAGGGAATTCACTGCTGAGTTAAAAGAGTGTCTGGGGGCCATACTCTCGGGGTTTCTCCAGTCTGTCAGGCCAGTCAGTCTGATCTTTTGTGTGTGTGTGAGTTAGAATTTCGTTCTGTATTTCCTCCAGCTCTGTCCGGGACCCTGTATTGTGATCCCTGTCAGAGCAGTCGGTGGTGGTAGCCGGGCACCATCTAGTTGTCCTGGACTCAGTCTGGTGGAGGCTGTGGTAGTTGTGGTCCATTAGTCCTTTGGACTAGTCTTTCCCTTGTGTCTTTGGTTTTCTTCATTCTCCCTTGCTGTAGACGGGGTGGGACCAGTGGAGGATCTTAGACAAGCGGCGCTGTTGTTTTTAACACAGCTGGCTCCTCACCCACCCTGACTTCCTCTAGTTGTTGGCAGGCCTTACCTCCTGCTGTCCCCACGCCTCAGCCCTCGCTCACAGCCCTTGCTCCATGTCTGCTGCACTGCTCCCAGGGTGCAGGCCCAGGAGGACACCCCCCTGCAGACTGCTAGGGGAGACACAACCTTCTCTGCCTTCAGACGTCCCAGCCCTGGGCCTTCCCCACGCTGTGACCTCGAGTGTCCCCAAGGGGCTGATGTGGGATGAGCCGCTGTACAGCAGGTGGGTTCAGAGTATCCCTCTTCTCTCCCACAGGGCCCTGGGCGTCTCTGTCACAGATTACACGTTTGAGGACTGCCAGCTGGCCCTGGCGGAAGGACAGCTCCGTCTCCCCTCAGACACTTGCCTTCTAGAATTTGCCAGGCTTGTGAGAGGCCTCGGGTGAGCTCCTGGCTTATTCTTGTTCATGAACGCTTAGTGAGAAATGGCCCACAGGTGCTGTGGTGGGCTTCAACAGTCTAGGCTCTGACAGGCCCTGCCAGGGCCTCTCCCCAGCTTTGTTTCCCAAGGCCCGGAACCCGGCTCGACCAGGCCTTCCAGCTAGAGACACTGTAGGCAGAAGTTCATGGGGAGCGTCAACAAAGAAATAGATTCCCTACCAGGGCGGAGTCTCTGGGTGGTGCACACAGTTAACGCGCTTGGCTGCTAACGGAAAGGTTGGAGGGTCGAGTCCACCCAGACATGCCTCGGAAGAAAGGCCTGGCGATGAGTTTCTGAAAAATGAGCTATGGAGAACCCTATGGAGCACAGTTCTACTCTGACACACCTGGGGTCACTAGAGTCGGAATCAGCTCAATGACCAAGAAAAGACCAGGTCCACTGAACCAGACCCTCCCAGCTTCGGCCCCAGCAAGCCAGACTTTTGTAAAGACCCCTGGGGTCTCTGCTTCAGTAGCTTCCACTTGGCCGGACTAGAGCACTGGCCCCGGGCCAGGCCGTCCCTGAGGCTAACAGCAGATACCCGGTCACTGCCGTCCTCTACAGAGCCACCACGTGGTTCCAGCGGCTCCTGCTTCAGGGCCAGGCTGCATGGACATACTGGAAGACCAGTGGTATAGACGCCTCTCTGGATGTGGAGGCCATGGCAGCCTCCCCTTCCCCCGCCCATTCCTCTGCAGCCCCAGCCCTGCGTCCCACCTGTAGCTGGTGGTAATGAGTGAGAAGCCAGAGCAGAGTGCGTACAGCTGCCCCCGCTGGCCCAGGTCACACGAGGCACCCACGCCTGAATCCACGGTGGTGGGTGGGGTACAACCCCGTTTAGACGCTTAGAAGAAATACGGCGGGCGCCTTCACGTGGTTAGAACAACTTTTCTTCAAAACGCACTCGCTGCTCTTTATATAAATAATTTTAATATTTTGTTCAGGTTTAAATATATATAACATTAAATCCCCTGTTTTTTAGTATTTTGTGCTTTTATTGGAAAAAAAGAAATCTTTCCCTCTTTTCGTTTAGACTAAAGCCAGAAAAACTTGAAAAAGATCTGGATAAATATTCAGAAAGCGCTAAACTGAAGAAGGGCCAGAAGATCGACCTGGCGGAGTTCGCCGCGTACCTGGAGGTCCCCATTTCCGACACGCTGGAGGGCATGTTCTCACTGTTTGACGAGGTGGGGGCTGTCGCTCGGGCGGTGGGGGGGCTTGGTGAAAACTCCAACTTTTGACAACCTAAATTGTTTTCATTATAAGATCAGCACATTTTAGACAATTTGGAGGCTAGAAAGCAGAAAACCACCCTTCATTGCCCAACGCTAGCCACCCAGGCTTATCGTTTTGGTAGGTTTCCTCCCATCCTTTTAAATGCATGTAGAAATTTGATTTTTAAATTAACCTTTCCTGATAAAAGTGTCAGGAGTTTGTTGTTGTTTGTTTTTATTTTTTAATCAGATTGCCAAAAAGCCTATTAATATCAAACAGCAGTTCCCAGCCAGCGTGGTCTCCCCATGGTCCCTTCCCCTGGGCCCACCGTTCACCCCACCAACGGGTCCTGGTCCCACTGGATTTTCTAGATAATGGGCTTCTTTCTCCGTTTACCAGTTTAGAGGCCGTCACCGGCTCTGTGTCTGCCTCAGGAGAGCCTCTCGCACAACCACCCCACTCCCCTCTCCACCAGCTGCGCGTGGTAACTAAGTCTTCAGTCCTGGTTAAGTGAGAAGTCAATGCTCATGTTACGCACCCAGTAATGCCCTGTGGTTGTTTCTATCCTTACAACACTTTTATTTTCCTGGAGTTAGTAACTGCATCGGTCTCAGTTATCTAGTGCTGCTGTAACAGAAATACCGCAAGTGGATGGCTTCAGCAAAGAGAAATTTATTCCCTCACAGTCTAGGAGGCTAAAAGTCTGAATTTATAGCGTCATCTCCAGGGAAAGACTTTCTCTCTCTGTCGGCCTCCGGGGAAAGGTCCTTGTCATGAGTCTTTCCCTGGTCTAGGAGCTTCCAAGCACAGACACCCCAGGTCCAAAGGACTGCTATTCTCCTGGCTCTTGTTTCTTGGTGGTATGAGGTCCCCCTGTCTCTCTGCTCACTTCTCTCTTTTCTATCTCAAAGATTGGCTTAAAACACAACCTAATCATGTAGATTGAGTCCTGCCTCATTAACATAATTGCCTCTAATCCTGCCTCATTAATATCATAGAAGTAGGATTTACAACACATAGGGAAATCACATCACATGACAAAATGGTGGACAATTACACAACACTGGGAATCGTGACCTAGCCAAGTTGATACACATTTTTGGGGGACACAATTCAATCCATAATGGCATCCTTTTAAAAAAGTCAGTTGTTTTCCACATACCTAGCCCCAATTTTCCTACCTGGTCCATCAGAACTGTTAAATGCCCATCTATGCTATTTTCCAAGCCAGCCAAAGGAAAATCCACGGTTGCTTTTTCCCCCATGGCCTTGCTCTGTCTTCTTCCCCTCTCCCCTGCCCCACCTGGACCTGCCACTCTGGCCACTTTGTAGCTGTCATGGGTGAGGGGAGCCTCCTCTCATCCTGGGTGCCTGGTGCCTTGTGGCAGCTCTGGGGACTCTCAGTCTTCTCCTTATTCTTGGGGTCCTGAAATGGCATCATGGGAACCTTTGTATCCATGGTGCCAGACACTGAGCAAGACTCACACCCCGGGCCTTCCCTCCTGCTGACTTTGTGACAAACCCCTCACCCACCATACCTCCTCTGCTCATTCTTCCTCAAGTTCTGATTGGCCATGTCCAACCTTGCAGGGTGCTTAGCTGGTCCTCTCTGCCCTTCCCTGTTCTCCCTCACGTCCTCTTTTCCTGTCTCCCTCTCATTATTTATTATTTCTGGGTCGTTTTGTGGGGCAGGGGGGTAGGTCTGTGCTTTTGGAGGTGCATTTCCCTTAGTTTGCTTTCAGAGTGCAATGTTCTGGGCACCTGGAGGTTTCTCTCAAAGCACTGGCCTTTGTGATAGGAATCAATATTGAAGTGCTATATGCAGTCTTTGAATAAAAGTTAATCTTTTTTGATGAATGAGGGCCACTTTTGATGAGTTGGGGCCGTGGTGGTGCAGTGGTTAAAGAGCTTAGTTGCTAACCAAAAGGTTGGCAATTAGAATCCATCACCCACTCCTTGGGAACCCTATAGTGCAGTTCTACTGTGTCCTATAGTGTCCTGTGAGTCAAAATCAACTCGATGGCAATGAGGTTTTTTTTTTTTTTTTTGATCAGTTAGCGACAGCATGCTAGAATTAGTCCACAAGGTCCCTTTTCTTTGTATTCTTCCCCATTTCTGTAAAAATGTGGCTCCCAGGGTGACGTGGGGACATATCCCTCAAGCCATGGGGGAAGCAGCCCCCGTACAGCATGGCCCCTGCACAGCGATCCTGTGCCCTGTCCGTATCCCCTGGCCCCATCTAGAATGTCCTTGTATTCACCAGAAACATACTCTCCATGTCCCCAGCTTCTCTGCTCATTCAGAGGAGTCACCTTCCACGCAGGGACCTACAGCACATCACCAGGGACAGTTAGCACGGAGCAGACTGGATGTCACAGCTGACAGTGCTGGGTGCTCAGCACCACGTTCAACTGCCGGAACCTTCTTTTCCTGATGCTCGATATTTTGCCATAAACAGTCCACATTCTCAGAGCCCAAATAGGAGCACTGGTGTTTACTGGTCTAATTTTCTAACGCAGAAGCCTTCAAAGGTGACAGCCCTTTTTGTATTTAAACACGTGGGGTTGCCGTGAGTCAGAATCGACTCAACGGCAATGGGTTTGGTTCTTGGTTTACGATTTACTATTGAGAAGCTTCATGTGGCAGTTCTGATGTTGTCATTGTTAGTTTCCATCAAGTCAATTCCGACTCACGGCAACCCCCCATGTACAGAGTAGAACTGCTTCATAGGGTTCTCAAAGCTGTGACCTTTCAGAAGCAGGTGGCGAGGCTCGTCTTCCAAGGCGCCTGTGGGTGGGTTTGAACTGCCAGCCTTTTGGCTAGTAGTCGAGCGCCTTCCTGTTCGTCACCCAGAGACTCCTGGGTGGTTCTGATAGACTTTGAACATTAATTGTAATGGCCCCAAAAAATGTAGGTGGGTGCAGTTGAGAAATTAGTGGGTTATGAATATTCTTGTGTAGGCTGTTTTCCTTTAGGCTGATACAACCAAGCAAGACTTAATTAACCCTTTAGTTATTACCCAGCAGGCAGTTTTTAAACACTGGCTTTTCCTATGTTCCGAAGGAGGTGGCCGGACTGTAACCTGAGGGTGTCTTTTTTCCACAGAGCGGCAGTGGCAAGATGGACCTACGGGAATATGTGATCGCCTTGTCTGTTGTCTGCAGACCGTCCAAGACTCTGGACACCATCCAGCTGGCATTCAAGGCAAGTGTCATTCGGTTGTGGAAAAATGAGACATGGATGATGTCAGGCCTGTGTAAGCGATCTTACTATGCTGGTGCTCAGAGGTAGGCAAATTCACAGGGTGAGTGCACAGTCCCCACAACGCTGCCCTCACTTCAGACACCAGCTGCAAGTTTGGGGGTCCCAGGGCCCCACCCTCACTTCTGACCAACTGGCTACACATCTGGGGGTTCCCACACCCCCTCAGTTTCTGTAACTCATGAGAACAACTCACAGAACCTCAGGGAAGAGCTATACTTATGTTTACAGGTATTACAGTAAAAACACACAAATCAGAACTAGCCAAAGGGATAGGGGCATGGGGTGAGGTCCCAAACGTGAAGCCTCTGTGTCCCTAGGGATGCGTCCCCCTCCTGGTGCACTGATGTAACACACAGAACACAGAAGATTACCAGCCAGGGAAGCTCACGGAGCTTCAGCTTCAGCCCCCAGTTTTTATTGGGGTTTCGTTACATAGGCGTGCTTGAGTGAACCACTGGCCATGTGACCGAACTCAGTCTCCAGCCCCCTCCCCTCCCTGGAGGTCAGGCTGATACTACGCAGCCCAAAGCCCCAACCTCTTCACTGCACGGCGAGCCCCTACCGCGTCACCTCCTTAGCATAAGCTATCAGGTGGGGCCCAAGGGTCCACCGTGAATAGCGGACTCGCCTAGCACTCGGGAAATTCCAAAGATTGAGGAGCTGCCTCCCAGGACGGCCAGAGTCTTTGTGACACATTTGGTAGATTTCCTACTCGCCTACCTTTTATTTTCACGTAAGCTTGGGTCAGTCCTTGTTTTTAAAATGCCAATAAACCTCAGAGAATCTGTTTCCTCCTGGGATTAACAATGCACAGTCGTAACACAGGCATGGAGCAGGGGCTTCCTGAGTGCCAGGTACCTGGGTGGGGCTGCTGGGTGCCCCTGTCCCTCGTGCTGCAGGACCTCCACCCATCATTACCTCTCACCAGCCCATTGGCCATGGTGGGAAGCAGTGCTCAGAGAGCTAAGGAGCTGCCCCAGCTCAGCTCAGAGTTTGGGGTCAACCCAAGGTTGAGCCATTCTCCACAGGACAGCAGAGTGCAGGGATTCTGGGAGTGACGGGGTCCCGGCCCACCTGCAGAATCACGTGCCTTACCTAGACCTAGGATGGAGTCAGTTCCAGCTTTGCCCATCAGGGAAACACATCGGGTACTTCTTCAAGGTGTGATTCACACTAGCCAGACTCACACAAGCGTGTTGTGTGAGCCAAGCTGCCTGGATCTCACTGCTTGGGAAACCTGTGTCTCACTTCAACCCCAGTGTATCCACTCCACAGCCACCCTGGGAAATTCAGCACAGTCCTCCTAGGGCTTACGTGTAATTAACTGCATGATGTAAGCATTTGGTAGCACCATATAGGGAAACCTGACCTACCTTGTCCAAACAAAGGCTCTGCCAGCCTGAGCAGGCTACTTCTGAGGGCTTATGGCTACCCTGCTGCCTCAGCTTCACTGGGCATCCACACTATGATGGGCCCTGCCCCAGAAACTGTGGGGCCACTGTGTGGAGTACCTAATATGACAGCGTGGGTCGGGGGGACCCATTTCCTGATGGAGGTTGACAGTCTTCCTGGCGAGGTGCTGAGGGTCTCACCTGTGGGGAGCAGATAACAGACTGCAGAAGGAGGTGCTGGGTTGAGGAATGCTCTCTGGAGAGGTTGACCTCACCTATGGGTGGAGCACATATTGCCAGTCAGGGGAGGGCAGGACCACGGGGCTGTCAGATCCTCTGTGGACACCATGAGCCGCTCTCTCGGGAAGGCCTCACACCATAGCTAACAGTGACCACCTCGGGGTCAGGAATGGTGATCCCCTTTCTCAGGCTGGCTCTGTAAAGCAGGCCAGGCCCGCGCACGTGCACTGGCCCAGGGTCGCGTGGACAAGCTGTGTCCCCACAGCAGTGCCAGAGTGGCCTGCTGTGCAGGCCTTGTGACCATGCCAGCCTGTTTTGCCGATGTCCACACGGTCTGGACTTGCGGGTTAAGTGGCTTGCCTCATTCTCACACCCTTGTAGGGCGCCGCCCTCTCGTCCCTGCCTGCAGCCTGTACCCTTCACATTGTCACCGTTTGCAAATCACATGGCCGCTGTCCTGTCTGATGCCCCGACACATGCCCTGAGCCCCTCAGAGCACGTTCAGGGTGGGGTTTGCAGGGTTAGCACGTGGGAGCTGGGGCAGCAAGGTCTTACACGGAGCGCTTTTGTAACAGAAATGAGCGTGATTGTATCAGCATGTTGCCTTGGAGGCATAAATGTGTTATTGCTGTTGTTCTTGTTGGATCCTGTTGAGTTGATCCCAACTCATAGCGACCCCAAGTGACAGAGTAGAACTGCCCCATAGAGTTTTCTTGGCTATAATCTTTATGGAAGCAGATCACCAGCTTTTTCTCCTGCGGAGCCACTGGATGGGGTCGAACTGCCAGCCTTTCACTTAGCAGCCAGGCGCTTAACTGCCGCACCATGTAGGACTTCCGTATTTTACAATTAAAAGTTCTCCCGGGCTGATTGCTGAGATACTGAATCATGTTTACGATAAACCCGTTGCCGTCGAGTGGATTCCAACTCATAGCGACCCTATAGGACAGAGTAGAACTACCCGATAGGGTTTCCAAGGAGCAGCTGGTGGATTCGACCTGCCAGCCTTTTGGTTAGCAGCTGAGCTCTTAACCACTGCGCCACCAGGGCTCCATATTTATGATAGCACTGAAAATTCCAGAGACACGTGCAGATGCTGGTGACATTCCTGAAGTAGAGCTCTCAAGCATTTTTGGGTCCCTTGTTTTTGCTTTCTTTCTGCGTTATTATTACATGAAACCTTAAGATGTGGTCGTGGTAGAAATCCTAACAGCTCAGAAAGGTGGGAAATGAAAACCCAGAGGGCTCTCTCTGCTCTGTTGTGACCCCTGTCCTTCTCAGCCTTTCTCATACATTCCTCTAGAATAAATTTCTGGAAGCAGAAATATTATGTACAGTAAAACCTGCAAGAGCCAGAACTCACCAGGACTGCCTTGTTTTTTTCCAGGTCTCGCAAGTTTTCTGCCTTTGACAGGGTGCAGTCACCACTTTTCTATCGCTGTCTGTTATTGGAAAATATTTGAGTTTCCCTTCGCTGACCGGTTTCCACATTACACAGGTTCCGGCTTTCACAGGTTTTACTATACTGGTAGTCCCCAAGTTGCAACGGGACTCCATTCTGACAACTCTGTTGTGAGTCAGTTCTGATGTAAGTCACATGCCTTTTTTTATTTTAAGTTTTCATTTTTATTGTATTTTATTATCAGTATCTTTGCAAATCTGATCATTGGGGGTTGGCGTGAGAGTGATAGCATCAGCAAACTATACACTGCAACATTGTATGTGGTACATATTCCCAACGATAAGATGTACCGAAAAAAAGGACGGTCCTAAGTGTGATTCATTGTAACTCGAATACACCACAAGTCGGGGACTACCTGTATATAGCACTGTTTTTTTTTTCAGAACTAAAACTGCAAAGCTGGCAGCAGAATATTCATGCTCACTCAGATATCGTGTCCCCGGTGAAGCAGCTGCATGACCACTAGGTGGGGTAGGAAGCCTAGGTTGCACTGCCCCTAGAGGGTGAAGGGGTATAGTGAATAGAGGCAGGCCAGCGGGAGGCAGAGAAAGGTGCCTTGGGTTTTGGCTGGGTCAGTTGTGAGCTTCCAGTAGCACCCGAATGGACTTAGTATGCAGATACTTGCTTCAACAAGTCTAAAGGTAGGAGAAAACTTGGGGCCCAAGACGCAGATTACAGTTGCCGGCAGGTTAAGGCGGTGTTTGAAGCCAGGGGTTCCCAGGAGGGCACCTGGGGAGGGAGAGCTGCCCAGCAGAGGTAGGGCCGTGAGAAAGCGTGCTGTCAGACAAGCCAGTATCCACGGGGGACAGGGAATCCTCGATGGTCAGGAGGGAATGCTGTGGCAGAAGTCCAAATTGGGCACGGTCAGCCAGGTCAGATGGCACACAGGCGGAGGTCAGAGAAGGCTGGCTCATTCGCTCCACCCAGCAAACATCTATGACCGCCCACGTGGCGCCTGCAGTTCTCAAGGCACGGGGATCAGCGCTGAAGGGACACACAGACGTCCTGCCCCAGAGAGCCCCCCTCTGAATGGGAGGAGGGGGCAGAGTGTAAACTAGAAAGTACCACACAGGGTGTAGGTGTGGGTTTGTTGGAGCACAGTGCAGAGGTGAGAGAAAGAAGGCTCGGGAGGGGCGTGGCGCTGAGAGCAGAGGTGCCGCAGGCAGAGGGGACGGACCAGACCAGGGCGTGACCACTTAGCCACTGTGATCTTGGTAAGAGATGACTCTGGTTGAAGAAAGATTGGGAGGTGGGGTGAGGGAAGGGAGGCCCAGGGTTCAGAAGGCAGGAGACACTGGGCATGCTCATGTCCTGACAGGAGGTCACTGAGAGACCACGGAACAAGAAGGGGGATTAACTGCAGAGGCCAGCCTTGATGGGCATGGGGAGGGCACAGACTCCATGACCCGGGGTGGGGTGGACGCAGGCCCAGGACCTGGAGCCTGTTCCGGTTCTGCCCTGGACAGGGAGCCCACGGGCACTTTCCGAGAGGCAGACCGAGGGCTGGGCTCTGAGTGGGTGAGTCTGTGACAGGGGTCCCCAGATCAGACTCATATGAAACAGAGGTGCGGAGAGAGACTGCAGAGTCGGGCAGGGGTCAGTGATATGCACAGAGATGAAAGTCTGGAGCTTGGCGGGGTGGGGGGTGGGGAGCTGCAGACCTGGCTGAGCAGAGGCTGGAGCACAGGTGTTCTGAGGCACCTGTCCACAGGTGATGGCCTCTTAACCCTTCTGCAGCCCCTGGTCTAGGCAGAGCAGACGAGCCTCCCTCCCCAGAACTGTGGTGTGGTCTCCTGGGCCCAGCAGGAGGAGGAGGGCTAGCGATGGGCGGGGTTCCAGGTGCCCACCACTCCCCAGTTCCCACCCTGACCCACAGAGCACCCCCAGCACCCTCAGCACCTCCCACTCCTCTCCTCCCTGTGTCCCCATTTCATCTTGGCGTCCTTACAACTTCTCTCTCGTCACCCACCTGTTTTCTTGCGATTTCTAACAGCTGGTTCAAGGTATTAGTGCTGTAGACATGTTCCCTATAACATGTATCCCTAAAGGCAAATGCCCTCAAGGAAATTCTGAAAGCAGGACATGACGCTCCAGACTTTCCTTGTGGCCCACCCATCCTTTGGGAAATAGGGTCACTTCTATTGTTTCTGAGGTAGAGCTTCCTAACCGAGCTAAATATTCACCTTTTAATCTCATTATGGAAACCCTGGTGGCATAGTGGTTAAGAGCTACAGCTGCTAACCAAAAGGTCTGCAGTTCATATCTACCAGCTGCTCCTTGGAAACTATGGGGCAGTTCTGCTCTGTCCTATAGGGTCTCTATGAGTCGGAATCAACTTGACAGCAATGCGTTCGTTTTTTGGGTTTTTTTTTTTTAAATCTCATTATGGAGCCCTGGTGGCACAGTGGTTAAGCATTCAGCTGCTAACCAAAAGTTCAGCGGTTCAAATCCACCCAGCTCTCCTTGGAAACCCTATGGGGCAGTTCTACTCTGTCCTATAGGGTCCCTGCGAGTTGGAATCGACTCAATGCCGTGGTTTTTTTTTAATCTCATTGTGACAGCCCTGGTGGTGGAACAGTAAAGCGCTCTACTGTTAACTGAAAGGGTGGTGGCTCAAACCCACACAGCAAACTGCTTCTATAAAGATCACAGCCTAGAAAACCCTATGGGGCAATTCTCTGTAACACACGGGGTCAGTGTGAGTTGGAATCGACTCAACAGCACCTAACAACAACAGTCTCACTGTGAGTAGCTTGGTGGTACAAACGGTTAACACACTCAGCTGCTAACCGAAAGGTTGGAGGTTGGAGTCCACCTAGAGGCACCTCAGAAGAAAGGCCTGGAGATCTACTTCTGGAGCATTAGCCACTGAAAACCCTACGGAGCACAGTTCCACTCTGACACGTGTGGGGTCGCCATGAGTCAGTTGATTTGATGGCAACTGGTACTGTTAATCTCATTGTACTTACTGATTTCTGAGTGAGTGAGTTACCGGATAGGGGCCAGTAGAGTCTGTGTCTGTGGGTCAAAAAGTATTTGCTGAGTGTCCACAAAGTGTTAGGAGCACACTGGGGGCCCAAGTCCCTGAGAGTTAACAACGCAGCTCTGCTCTGATAGCGCCCACGTCCACCCTGTGACCTGCAGGCTCCTGTCCCAGATGCTCATGTCCTGGCGATCCTGGGAGGGTGAGACCAGGCCTGCTGGAGAGCTGGGACAGTCCTGTGGGGAAAATCTGGCCCAGCCCTGGACAGGCTGGCTGGGCGGGTGCAGAGGGAGTGGCTGAGCATGAAGGTTCCCTGTCTTAGTCATCTAGTGTTGCTCTAACAGAAACACCACAAGTGGATGGCTTTAACAGAGAAGTTTATTCTCTCACAGTCCAGTAGGCTACAAGTCCAAATTCAGGGCATCAGCTCCAGGAGAAGGCTTTCTCTCTCTGTCAGCTCTGGAAAAAGGTCCGTGTAATACATCAGTCTTTCCTTGGTCTGGGAGCTTCTCAGCACAGGAACCTCAGGTCCAAAGGACGTGCTCTGCTCCCGGCCCTGCTTTCTTGGTGGTATGAGGTTCCCATGTGTCTCTGCTCGCTTCTCTCTTTTATACCTCAAAAGAGATTGGACTAAGACTATCTAATCTTGTAAACCTCCTCAGTATAACCTCATCGTGGTGATAGAATTTACAACACATAAGGAGATCACGTATAACCTCATCAGAGTGATAGAGTTTACAATACATAAGGAAATCACATCAGATTACACAATCATACAGTACTGGGAATCATGACCCAGCCAAGTTGACAGATATTTTTGGGGGACACAATTCAATCCATGACATTCCCCTTTGCTCGTAGATGTACGCGTCGCAGGAGGACGGCTGCATAAACGAGCGAGACCTGTCCTGCATCCTGAAGACGGCCGTGGGTGTGGCGGAGCTTCCTGTGGCGGACCTCTTCAGTGCCATCGATGAAGACGAGAAGGGAAGAATCTCCTTTGGTGAGTAGCCCTGAAGTGGGGTTAAGGTCCCGGGGCAGGGGTAGGGAAAAGTTAAGGTGTCCCCGCTGAGCAGGCAGGGTGCATGGAGGCCCCCACCCTCTTCACCAGCCTGCCCATTTCCTTGGCAACACCAAAACTGCTTTCCTCAAAGGAAGATTCTGTCAGGAAGCCAGCAGGGATGGGTAGGGGGCTTGCAAATCTCATTTCTTCAAATGTTTAATGAAACCCAATCCCGAACATGTTCTGAAGCTTAGAGCCCGTTATAGACACTGTGTCCACCCAGGGCTGCGGGCCGTGTGGGCTGTGCCCAGTGGCAACTCCTGGGTCTGCGGCCAGGGTCCTGGGTGTGGGAGGGGTGAGTCCACGGCCGCTCAGAGGGTGTCCTTCCACCCTGAGGGGCTCCAGTGTTGTCACCAGGCAGCCATGCCACAGGCGTGCACCCACTTAGCCGCGCCAGGGTTATCCGCAGGGAGGGCACCCGAGGACCAGTGCAGACGCTCTTCCTGGCTGTGAGCTCACCTCTCTGGGATGTGTCACTGGGTCACTAGTACAATGACGGCATTTCTGGAGCACAGGCAGCTGATGGCAGAGGCAGGGACTGTGACCAGGCCCAGAGCAAGAAGTGGCAAGGTTTTAAATCGCTGTGGACAGGGAGCAAAGCTGTCCCATGTGGTGACTCCCTCCCATCTGAGTGTGGATGAGGGCCAGTGCGAGAATCAGGGCAACACTGCGAGGCTTTCAACCCCCCTGCTCCGCGCCCACCCCCCGCCCCCCGTGCACACGGTGGGCTTCTCCGTACCCCATCCCCCATCACAGTGGGCGCAGTGGCCCGGCTTTGGAGGACTGTCTTAAGTAAATGCGAAATCGTCCATGAAAGCACCAAGAGCTCCCTGGCAAGGTTGGGAGAAGGGCGTGGGGTCTGGGGACCTGGGACAGAGTGGGGCCGACATCCCAAGATGACAGATTCTCAGGAAACTTCTCTAAGGAGAGCACCTGAGCCAAGCGAGCTGGTGCAGACCCAGGAACGAGGGCCCGGAACCTGTGCAGAGACGCTGAGGCAGCCTGCCAGCACGGGCACCAGCATGCCCGTTTCCGAGTCAGTGTGTCTCGTCATCTTTCTGACCAACGACATCTCTGGATGGTCATTGTTCCTAGCTTGTTCAGATGTGTTCTTAAAGCGGTGTCCAATTGTCACTGTGCGTGTGTCTATGTAGTGTGTTGTGTGGTCTGTGTGGTGTGCTGTGTGCATGTGTGGTGTGTGTGTGTGTGGTGTGTGTCTGTGTGTGTGTAGTATGTGTGTCTGTGGTACATGCGCGTATGTGTGGTGTGGTACGTGTATGTCTGAGTGTGGTGTGTTGTGTGTGTCTGTGTGGGGTGTTTGTGTGTTGTGTATCTGTGTCTGTGGTGTGGGTGTGTCTGGTATACGTATGTGTATGTATGATGTGTATGTGTCTGTGGTCTGTGTATCTGTGGGGGGGATGTGTGTCTATGGCTGTGTGTGTTGTGTGTATGTATGTGTGTCTGTGTGGTGTGTGTGGTGTGTGTGTGGTATGTATGTATTTGTGTCTGTGGTGTGTATGTGTGTGTGTCTGTGGTGTGTGTATGTATGTGTCTGTTGTGTGTGGTGTGTGTGTGTGGTATGTATGTATTTGTGTCTGGTGTGTATGTGTGTGTGTCTGTGGTGTGTGTATGTATGTCTGTGGTGTGTGGTGTGTGTGTGGTATGTATGTATTTGTGTCTGTGGTGTGTGTGCTGTGCGTCTGTGGTACGTATGTATGTGTGTCTGTGTGGTGTGTG